AGGAGGCAACATCAAGTTTTTACTCTGAAGGCTACGGCCAACATACAGAAGCGGAAGTGGCGGCTGCAACAGCTGTAGCAGGTGTAGTACCAAGACCTCCCATTGCTGTAGTCGCACCTCCACCAGAACCTAAGTTTGACGTGTCAGTCCGGGTTAAAAGAGCTCCCCCACCCCCGCCATCACCTACACCACCACCATCTGATGTTGAGAGCACAATAAGCACTCAGGCTAGGAACCTCACAACAATCTTGGAGCGGGAAGAGATCCAGCGATCATTTGAAGATATTCCCAAGCCAACAACTACAACATTTACCTATGTTCCAGAGTTACATCCACCCCCTCCTCCAGCCAAATATGCTCAGACTCCTCCTGTCTATTCCCGCATCTTGCGCCGCCAACAAGAACAGCTCCAGACTCGTGATGCTGCAGAGACGTTGTCACAGAGATCAATTCCAGACAATGATAACTGGTCCCAGGGAGAGGATTTCATCGATGCTCCTCAGAGACGCATGTCCATTACCTCGGCACGCTCCTTGGCAAGCCTCAATACAGAGATGACAGAGACACGGTCAATGTCTGAGATAGTCGATAGTTCCCACAAGCGGTATGCTCCGGCAACCACAACCATTGCACCACCTCCACCTCCACCACCACCTATTGTACCATCCACGCACTATACCAGCGAGATTGATGAACAGATCAACACAACTGAGTTCCTGGAGCCACCAGTAGTTGTATCTCGTCGCCCCGAGATCACGTCTCATGTCGTGGATGATGTATTCCTGAGGACCATCACCGAGAAACGCACAATTGAAGACATTGAACGCCACAGAAGGCAGGTTACCGAGTACCACACAAGGCCACAGCCGCCACCAAATCCCAAATGGGATGTAGTGATCCGAAACTACCCAGCACCCAATACTCAAGAAGCTACACAGGGCAGTGAACCTGGGCCAGACTGGGAGAGTTTCTCTGAATCATCATCTGTATCTGGCTACCCAACAACACCCACTGCAGAGTATCACCACGCACAAGTGGACATTGAACGTAACTATCTGAGTACACTCGACGTTCCGCCACAAGACCCGCCAATCCCTAATTGGGATGTGCTTATCAGAGTACTAAATCCACCACCCACAGAGGAACTTCAGCCCCATGGAACATCCAGCGAGGTCTTTAGAGAAGAAGCTGTTCTGACAGTCGAAGACCGTGAGAAGTGGCGTCAGATCATTACCACAGAATCGACTTTGAGAACCCTACTCACGGAAGCTACAGTACGTGAAGACTATGAACGAATCCGAAAAGATCAACGATACGAAAAACTCTTTGAACCGAAGAAATGGGATGTAATTATTCGCGTTCTTTCGCCATCTGAGAAGCCTTCTTTTGACCAGCGTGGAGGACCCTCCAATTCCCGCTACAGACGTAAGACTGACTGGGACACAAGGAGCAGAAGAAGTTCACTCCCCACTCTTTATGAATATGACTCAGATGGTGGGTCATCTGTGCGAACTCTTGTTCCTGATGTTGTTCCACCCCCAGGTTCTGGTCCAGCAGGTACTGACCCAGTACCACGATCTCGCCGTACTTCACGGTCCAGTCTCCGTTCAGACATGGATGTCCGTTCTATGACCGAAGTTATGGTTGACTTTGCTCGCCCTGACATGGCAGACACTTTAAGTGATGCCAGTGGGCCAAGCTCATATTACCGCCCAGGGCCTGGAGGTCCTCGAAGGTTCTATGATGATGACGATTTGTTGTTGATGGGTGGAGGACATGGAACAGCATCTGAAGATGAAGATTATGGAGGAAGGGTTATGGAGACTGGGAGCTTAGTTCGGTCTGTGAGTCAGCCTTCTCTCGCTAGATCTGCATCTGAGTTTACGGAGCACTGGGTAGCACCTGGCCGACGTCATTGGGATGCTGGTGACCTCAGCAGCCCCGAACACTCCCCAAGATCTGCCCGCAGTCGCACTTCCACTGCAATGAGCAGTGTGAGCCAACATCAGCCATCTGGCATCCCTTCACCTGGCACCCAGGTCCTGTACACTAGAACTGCAACCACGGTGAGGGAGAGTTATCAGCAGCAGGGATGGTTCGGTGATGCTGATAGTGAGGCAAGCTTCAAGTGATTTTCATGCTGAGCACAGAGCCTTGGATATAGGAAGTAAAAATTGGTACAGTATTATACTGGACAATCTTCTAAGGAACCTTAGCGAATAAGTTCACGCAAATATCTGAATCTGTTATAGAAAAGCACAAAATTTGTTAAGTTTTCCATAAAAGAAATTGGTTTGGTATTACCCTGAGATGTTTTAATTTGAAATTGATGCCATTTGCAATGTCACAATATAAATTAAATTATTATAAAATCTGCTTTACTTCATAGCTCTTGATGATGGAGGGTAAATGAATATGTAGCATTGACAGAATGATGATTAACTATAAAACCTGTCCTAGTGCCACTTTGACTTCAAAAAATCCCAATATGGATTGTCTAGGGATTAAACTTGATCCTCTGCAGAACTCAGTTACTGTTATTTTAATGCTGAGTTCAGCATTGATGGAGATTTACTAACATGATGACCATTTATTAAAACCTGTACACATTACATTATTCCTCTGGTCCTAATATAATAAAAATAGTAATAATTTAACAAAGACTCACAATAGAATTTTTTGTTTTGTATCTACAAGGCTATTGCAATAATTATGTACTAATTCGTGTGCCAAAATAGATATGAAATGCCTGTGGTGTCTTAGACAAATGAATATTACGTCATATGTACAAGAGCAATTCTTTGTTACGTACAAGGAACTGAATGTTTAACTGAACAATGAAAATTTGTTTATTGAATTGACATATAATCGAATAAATAGCTGGAAAAAAATATTGAAAATATGAGATTGTTGTAAGTTGCTTTTACTAAGATAGGGATGTGGTCTAAGACAGTGGTATTCAACCTTTTTTTGTTCGCGTATCCCCAGATATAATTTCTCTTTAACTTTGTACCCCCAAAGTTGTTGGTGTATAATTCAAGTTATACATAGTATATAATCTACAACTACAATAAATTCAATAAATTACATTACTGATTATTCAGTGTTTATCATAAAATAATATATAAATTTTTTTAAATTTCACGTACCCCCTAAGATGTCTTCGCGTACCCCCAGGGGTATGCGTACCCCAGGTTGAATATCACTGGTCTAAGAGACTGCTCAAAGTATAGAAAGCTTTCATCTGATAACATACACAACTTTGTACATTATAGTAAAATTAAACAATAAAAAAATAACTTCGACAAAAAATAACATTTTACCATACTGTTATTATATAGATTATATTTTTATAATTATTTTTATCTGTTTATCATATAATATGACTAAATGCTGTGATAACCATTTTTATAATGAACAGAAGGAGATAATCAGTCTTCGTACTGCCAATAATAAAAGTAAGGAATCACAGAATATGACAATACTAACTGGACTAGTGGTTAGCGTGCTCGCCGCTAGACCCAAGGTTCACGGGTTCAGTCCCGGCCAAGGTCGATGGATTTTTAAGGGTGATAAAAATCCGTAGCACAACTTCCTTTGGAGGGGAAGTAAAGCCGGCGGTCCCATGTCGTAGATTTACGGCATGTAAAAGAACCTTACGAGCATGATACGAGATGTTTCGTAAGCAAAATTCAGTGGCCATTTCTCACCCAAGTCTCGTGATTTACTGCTAGATGCCTCTGGCAGTCAAATCAGGATTGGCTGGTAGAAATTCAGAACAGAGTGATGGTGAGGGTGAACATAGGAAATTTCAAGATAAACCGCAGTGAGTTTCATATTATTCAGTGTGATCCATGCTCTCAAAATATTGCACACATTTGATAAAGCATTTGTTTAATATATATCTGAATAACTGCATTATTATTACTGAGATGTATTTTGGGTTGATTGTATGAAATACTAATACAAGGTTCTCATACATGAATATTAAAGAATTTAAATTGCGACTGAATGTGAATTACAAGTATGATTTTATTGGGGACCAATTGTTTTATTTCATTGTGTCTTTGTGAATAATTTCTGAATATTTACATAACTTCATTAGCATAGCATAGTTGGTCTGCTATGCTTATTTTAGCACCTGATTTTTCATTTGTTTACTCGGCACTTTTAACATGCATCTAGCGAATAATATTTTGAGGCATATTGTAATTTATGACAGTCTTCCTTTGCCAGAGTGAAACTGGAGAATCAGGCACCTAATGTAATTAAATCATACTTGATTTATTGCTGCATCTAATTCTATTAACTGATATGTTACTTTTTAAATTTCTCAAATGACTCGCATCATTTCTTATATAGTTTATAAGTTGGTGTTGGCTTGGGGTCAGGTGATTTGTGGTCTTTGCTATACTTACTAGACTATAAAGTGTTTTTATCATTTATATTCTTACATATTTGTCTAAATTAGTAATGTTAAGGAAATATATCAAAATATAAAATTAAAATATGAAATACTTAATATAACATACATAGTTAAGTTTAACTTTTCACTTCACAGTACTTAAACAAAATACGATTATTTAACTGGTAGTGACAGTTGTAATTCTGGAGATATTTTTTCTTATATAATTTTGTAGTATAGTTACAGTAATAACATACAAACTCACCAACAATTAATGAATGTGACTTGTGTTTATAAACATGAAAAATTATCCTACATTTTTAGGTTATTTTAAGAAATCTGTGTAGTGACAGCTTTCTAATACACAGATGGAAAGAATAAAAACTTATGCTTTTAGGAAAACATTATTTTCTTATTCATAGCAAACTCTTGTTTCTTTATTTATAAAAAGAAATACTAGAATTTGATTCAGAGTTAAATTTAATTTTGTTTCATTTTGTTATATTAATTTTCATGATCATTCTAAGTATTGTTTGAGAATATTAAACATCAAATTTTACCAATAGTTTCAGAATTAAAATATTCAGAATATCAGAGAACAAATTAAGTGTTCTTCATTTTATTAGTCAATATAACAAAAAATATGCATCAGATCTATCAAGTTTATATTTCCAACATGTTACAAAACTCCATCTAACACTGAGATTAAGAGTGTATGGTGCTATACTAGTGACAAATTCTTTTACAAAGGTCATTACATACCCATAATAGTGGTTAAATTGTGAAAGTATACGCAGATTGTAATACAGGCAATTGTAGTTATAACAATAAATGCATCCTGCTTGATAAATAGTTCTTTTCCCACAAGTCATTCTATTCCTTGTAAATAACAGGCATCAGTCAGTGGCAGATTGTCGGCTTCTGTTGATGTTAGGTGAATGTCACCAGATGTTAATAATATACTATTTACTCACCAAATGTTGCTGTGTAGTGGTTGGCACTCTTGTTTTGTATAGGCCCTGATGGGACAGAGCTTTCTACATGCTCCATCGTTCATAACCATTCATGATTTGGCTTAGTATAACATCGCAGTTAACAAAGTACTGTGATGCAAACTAAGAGGTAGACAAGTGGTTGATCTTCCCAGTTAATATGTTTGTTCCCGAATTGCCAATTGCGTCATTCTCTGAATAACGGGTTAAATACACTAACTGTAGAACGAAATGCACCTGCTATTCTCATGGCATGTGCAGTGAATAAGGCAAGAAGTAACAAAGGAGTAGAGAAGATTATATAAAGAAGTGATTTATAAATCTTATTATCCACCTAACTTTGTCAGTGCCATTACATTAAGAAGGATACAGTGGAAGGCACACGAAGCATGCAAGAGGGGTATTACATGCAAATATAAAAGTGTGTATGTATTTATTTCAACCAACGGGACGCGATGATTAAAAAAATAGCCCTCAACACTATACGGGAATCGAAGCGCAGCAACTCTATAAATACAAATTATATACAAATCGCACTTCAATGAAGAGTTACAGGGTTGGTACTACAACGAGCATATCTCTACAGCTTTTGTTTTGGAATACTTCCGAACTATCAACCGAATTCTGACGAAGAATAACCCGCGAGTAGGTTTGTTCGGAGCTGATGAGGCGGAAGTTGGCACGAAGTTATGAAACGTCTTAAAATTTGATATTATTTTGTGGAAGCCGTAAGATATCTGTATGGCAGAGTGTGATAGTACATTACGCACTACGTGTGGGAAACATTTGGTGCATTAAAACGTTATAATGTGCTTTAGGGACTTCATGTTTTCTTTGACCTTCAATATGGAGCGACATGTTGTCCGGCCAGAACGAGTCGTATGGCAGAGAGCTGTGCAAATGGGGTAAGTTATGAAACAAACTGTATAATAGATAAATTTACATTGTGTAGATGTGGTCAAATTTGAATACGTCTTAGATCACGAGTCAAATAAAATTATTACTCACCAGTGCCTAAACGGTTCATTAGAATGTAAAACATACGGCATAGAATGATTAAGTAGTATCTTATCTTACGGCGGTGATTCAAAGATGGCTGTCTTGGTTGTAGTGCCATGGCGCCGTGTATTCTGGTAATTTACCGACGTATTTTTCTCTTCACCGTAGGAGGCCGAAGTGAATGTAGTCCATTTATTTCCGAGATTTTGAATGCCCAGAACTTCACATTCTCTTCTTTTATACTCCCTAATGGTGCAGTGCTAAGGCATTGAAGAGGAAATTGCGATTAAAATGTTAAGAAACTACTACGCGAGTTGATGAACGTCCGTGTTATGTGCGTACCGTGGTGTGGGTGGAGGTTTTTCAATTATAACTTACAGAAGACACAGTTGATGTGTATTATTTTGTCGTTCATCAGTGACTTCTTTTTACCTTGTATTTACTCAGATTTATTCCCTCTCTGGGACTGAACCATCATGTCCTGCATTGCCTCAAATTTTCCGGTTTATAACTTATTGAGACACTTATAGATTGTCTCTTGCATAAACATTATTAATAATGTCGACGCTTGTCGATATTTCAGCGTCGGAAGGATGTCAGCTTCAGAGACACGGTAAACACAAAGTGACGTCTTCTTCCATACGTTTGCAGCAACATGGATTAGAGGCAAGGGAACATTACAATTCCCGCTGGATATGGGAAATCGATGTGGTCATCAATCTCTTTTTTCTCGTTCCACCTCACCATGGCCGATATTCCCCCAGAGAGACTCATGAATTACTGTCGTGGAATAAGGATAGTTCTAGTTGATCTTTCTGGACAAACTTCATTCAGAGGAGAAAAGTCCATCAATTCTTAGAGAGTGGATTAGAGGCATAAACATACCGATTTGGAAGCGTCAACAAATAACCAACGGATATAGGTGTGTTTTTCAGGTTTTTGGTCGCCTGTGACACACACTATTTCCTGAAATGTGTTGTCTGAGAGATAATATTTTTCTCTGAAGAGAAGAATACACATTCTTTTAGTTATTTTGTCTCACTGGACGTGTTAAAACGCCACAAATTATTACGATGCGTTCAGAGCTTATTTCCGCGTTGAAACAAACTGGTGTTTTCAACTTTAAAAATTTCTTGCTTATTGTGTTGAATATTAAAATTATTTGAAAATTAAAAAAAAATTAAAATGTTTCTTTTGTGAACGTGATTACTTCATTTAAGAAATTCTGTGGGATCAATGACCCTGTACGGTTTTGCCAGACCCTTCGAAAACGTAGTTTGCCAAAATGGCTGTCTTCTGGTATTTCGCACCGTGTAGTCTTTAGAAGATTACCGGCGTTTCAGAAGTGTTTGTTGCCTCCATTAGCAAGGCGATCGCCATATTAAAATCTCCTAGTTAAATATACAAATTAAACACCGTTATATAAAATACTGTGCATCCAAGAAACCATATACAAGAAACTATTCTTGACCTTGCAGTAAAGCTGTGTTCCTTTGAGTAAGTTGAAGAAATAAAATTAACACTTTATTAATTCAATGGTGTTGAAAGCTATTTGTTTAAGAACCGGCCTAACAGTGTCTATGAATGTGCTGGAGTTCAAACCTGACAATTTTAGGGCAGTTATGCATTATTCACTGACACTTTCAGAACTGTTGAATATTGTCTGTTTCTTCATTGACAAAGCGTTGGTATCCATGGTGTCGACGATTAGCAATTCTAGTTTTTGATCATGTAGTTTAACTTCACCCCGTTAGATGGTAGCAAATGCTAGCCAAGCTGAAACTTTGTGCTCTGTAGTGGAGTTCGGTAGAAGTCTTTTGCCGAACATTATAAAAATTATAAGCATACTAAGTGACTGTCGCGTGAGAATTTATTCAAATAAGTTCTTGAAACTTTGCGCTCTGTAGTGGAGTTCTGTAGAAGTCTTATGCCGAACATTATAAAAATTATAAGCCTACTAAGTGACTATCGCGTGAGAATTTATTCAAATAAGTTCAACGAACATCGTTTATTCAACCCCAAGCTTCATTATCGTATTCATGAAAGCCCATAACTTGTCTTGAGCCATATGAAAACTGCCCACTCCTCAAGCCCATTATTATATTCTCATGTACACTAAGAATTTCTGGCAGAAATCTTCTGTTCAGGTGCCCTGATCGAAATTTTATATGTAGATGGCTGTCTTCTGGATTGTAGCGCCGTGTAGTCTAGTAGAAGATTACCAAAGTTTCAGAGGTCTTTGCTGCCTCCATTATCAAGGCGATGAATGATGATCGCCCTGATGATGGAGGCAGCAACGACCTCTGAAACGTAAACACGACGCTACAACCCAGAATATAACTATCTTCACACTCATCGTCGTGAGAACCTGAAATTCTGTACAGCGCGGCTTCTGGACGTAACAATAGAAATAATGTATATGACGTAGAATTAGCATGTAGGATGTGTTTTGTTTTTGTGGTAATCAGGCAAGATTCAGAGACTGTTTTTGTTTGCGGTGTTATGTGTGGGCTAGAGATTTTGTGAAGTGGGAATTTCACTACTGGGCTGAAAAGCAATTTCCGGCTGGCTCCCTATCCCCTTTGTTCTTGCTGAGTAATGAGCTACTTCCAGCATATCGTATAATATATAGGACTAAACTGAAGCAGGGGACTTGTAGATAAATGAAGCAATCTTTGTAATGAGAAGCTTCTCATGTAAGTATGCACTACTCAACAACAAACAAAAGTTGTAGCCTACTACAAAGTGGAATAAATGTATTTTCCATATTTATTATTTACGATTTTTATATTCCATTGTCAACTGCGTTTGTTTGTGTTCAGTATAAATCGGTTATTGCAGATATAGGATAAATTATTGCTTTAAAGTTACAGTCTATATCTTGTATAAGTAAAACATCGCCGTATATGAAATTAAATACTCCCTATAGGCTATAGAAAAAGATTTAAAATATAACAGCATCATTTAATAACATTTGTAAGTTTTTTGAGAGAAATTGAAAGGTTAGTTCTGAGCTTCTTCGAAAGTAGGGTTATAATCGATAAATACGAGTGAAAATTAAAATAGTAAGACAGCTTTGGATTGTGATCATCTGGACTGCGACACCAGGAATACAATCTGTCTTTTTTACTACTAAAGCCAATACCAAATTTAATTGAAATTTATTCCACAGCTTCAGAAATAAATCATTTTGGTCTTGGCAATTTAAATAAACCTAGGATTAAATGCACATAAAGAACTATCTGTGACGTCTCACAGCCGCTGAAGTGCCAACAACCTGGACATCTGAACACCTTGCGGTCGTCAAATGTCCGTTAGCGTACTGATACTTTATCAAAGTACATTTGGTTCTTCCATTGTTCAGTATTTCTACATACTGTTTTACACTAATTTTTGTGTTTCTTATAGTTTATGTTATCATAAAGACTGTCTTTATATCTGTAGAAGTAATTTACCGAAATTTTTAAACTCTGAAAATTATTGATTGACCAAAAGCTCTGATATCCACATAGAAACATTTACAATGTGTATGCGAAATGAATGTCTGATTGTGTTATATATCGTATTAGGGTCTATTGGGCCAAAAATAACAGAAAATTTTTTGACAGAGTTTTTACAAAAAAAAAAATCACCAGTGTTTTACTTCGCAAAAGGGAAGCATGGTTTGACCTGACAGATCTGCCTCCGGGACATCTCGCAACAAAGGGTGGGAGGGTCACATTAGCAGCTACGCTGCGGTCCAATTACGGAACGTATTGTTCTTTTGTCTCTGTCACACATCTGCTGCGTGACGTACGATACGTAATGTGACGTCACTGGAGCGAGAGAGAGGCGACCGTGGCCAAAGCTCAGTTGTGTGTTGATGGAAGCGATAGAATTATAATTAGGATAGCAAACATGTCAGTATTTCAAATTGTGAACCGTCGGTGAATTGGGGCTTTATGAATATTCACATACTCCCACCCCCATAAAATAAAATTATTCACAAAGGGAAGTATCGCTTGAATTTCTCGGCAGCCTCGTATTTTGGATGTATGACTAAAGAACAATTACTTTTCCGAGCAAAATCATGCATGCATGATACATGCCTCGTCCAGTTCAGCTTTCTTGTCTTAATCACCAAAATAGTATTAGCTGAAGAGTAGAAATCGTGAAGTCCATAATTATATTATTTCTCCAGCCCTTTAATAGGCCCAATCGCAGTGAAGTGACAAGAATGATTTTATTAGCTTCAGCATGTCTATCTGTTCAAAAATTTGGAACAGCTGAATGTATTACAAAAATGCTATTCGATAGTTATAATAACATTTAATAGGAATTAAGATTTTCATAGAGGTGATTTTGTCGATTGCCCTGATGACGGAGGCAGCAAGGGCTTCTGAAACGTTGGTAAAATTCTACCAGACTACACAGCGCTACAACCCAGAAGACAGCTATGTTCATTTTAAAATTTGCTGACAAATTTATGTTACGGTTAACATCGGACAACAATAATCGACTTACAGGAATACCTACATGGTTTCCTGAACCTGTCTCTTCTTTAAACAGGTAAATATTTACTGGAGCGGAAAATGTACCGAAGAACGTTTTGAGGTATCATGAAACACATTTATTCCTGATAAACTTATTCCTCGTGTTTTACGGATTTTAACGAAACTAAATAAATTCGATTTTTATGCTGTATCGTGCTGTATTGGCGTTCATTGCTCGCCAATCTCGTCTGTTTGTTGCTTATAAGGAAGTATTAAAAGACATCATTCATGAATCAAAAGTAAACTACTGGACGCACCAGAGTTACGCCGTGCATACATTGCCTAGCTTGTAGTTAATATAATTTCCAGTTATTGTAAAGATAATAAAACTATTAAAATTTCACTGCATAGTCTCAGACAGCGTTTTTATTGTA